CCTAGAGGGCCCTGGTGAATTTATTAGCACCTGTGGGAGGAGGAAAGATGCATCAGATAACTCTAGGTCACCACATATCTATGGAGGAAGGAAAAAAAAAAAGTAAAGGAAAATCCACCACCACCAGAAGTAAGTTTCCTTACTTTAGCAGCTGTGGGGTTACCACAGTCCTACAGGAAGCTTTGCTTGTAGACATGCTGCGCCACAAAAAGTTCACAGCGATCCTCCCATTCACAGATGTCTGTTGTATATAAATGATGAGGCAGTACAGCATGGTGGTTAAGAGTATGGACTCTGAAGCCAGTCTACTGGGTCCAGAGTTGGGTTCTGCCACTTAACAGCTGTGTGACCCTGGGAAGTTACTTAATGTCTTTGTGTCTCACTCTTCCCATTGGAAAAATGGGGATAATAACTAGTATTTATTGCATAAGAGCAGTTGTGAGGATTAAATGAGATAATCTTCACTCAAAACAGTTCCTGTTAATAGACTGAATTATGTCCCCCAAATATATGTGCTGTAATTCCTAACCCTTACATTTGTGGATGTAATTCCATTTGGGAACAGGGTTTTCTTTGTTATATTAATTTGGTCATATCAGTGGGGTGTGTCTTAAGCCAATCACTTTTTAGATATAAAAAGAGCAGGTTAAGCACAGAAGCAAGGAAGCACAGATGGGGGAAGGTAGATGCCATGTCACATGAAGACGGACAAGGGAATGAGGAACAGAAGCTGAAAAGACACAAGGACCTGACCTTCCCCTAGAGTGGAAAGAGAGAGAAAGCCTTCCCCTAGAGCTAGCACCCTTAATTGAGACTTCTAGCCTCCTAAACTATAAGAAAATAAATTTCTGTTCGTTAAAGCCACCTACTTGTGGTATTTCTCTAGATAACTAAGACAGTTCCTGACCGAAAGAATGAGCTATGATGCATGTAAGTGCTTAGCAAAGGGCCTAATACATGGAAACATGCAAACAATGGTAGCTATTAGATATTAAGCACAAGCAGAAATGGTACAGGTTAGATGACTGCTAAGAATTAAGTGCCATGGCTGCTAACCAAAAGGTCAGCAATTCGAATCCACCAGCCGCTCCTTGGGAACCCTATGGGGCAGTTCTACTCTGTCCTAAAGGATTCACTATGAGTCGGAATCGACTCAATGACAATGGGTTTCGTTTTAGTTTTAAGGAATCCTCTAGCCTTGAAAGCATATCAAATTCTTTTCTTTTTTTTTAATTCAGGTGAAGGTTTACAGAACAAATAGTTTCTCATTAAACAGTAGTACACATATTGTTTTATGACGTTGGTTAATGTCAATCCTCTCCCTTCTCGACCGTTTTTTTTTTTTTTTTTGGTGAAAATATACATAGCCAAAGATACACCATTTCAAAAATTTCTACATGCACAGTTCAGTGACATCGACTACACTCTTCCAGTT